GAAGAGTAATGCAGGGAGTGAAGAGTAATGCAGGGAGTGAAGAGTAATGCAGGGAGTGAAGAGTAATGCAGGGAGTGAGGAGTAACGACAGGTGTGAAGAGTAATGCAGGGAGTGAAGAGTAACGCTAAGTCTGAGTCTGAAGAGTAACGCAGGGAGTGAAGAGTAACGCTAAGTCTGAGTCTGAAGAGTAACGCAGGGAGTGAAGAGTGACACTTGGTGTCCAGAGTAACGCTGAGCATGAAGAGTAATGCCAGATGTGAAGAGTGACGCTGGACGTTAAGATTAATACCGAGTGTGAAGCGTAGTGCTTGTGTGGCCACATACATACACATGTGCATTATGGGTTAATAAAGAGTAAAATAAACTGTTGGACAGACACGGAAAAGAACCAGACATTGTCAAATTAATTTGACTTCATGCTAAACTAACTTACATTTTAAATTTTATTTCATTTTAAATTAAAAACCCTAAAATCAACACCAACTATGCTCTCTGACTTTGAAATTAAAAACAACTGTTCTCTGACATTAAAAATAAAAGCATAATTCATGAGGCAAGGTTTAGAAAACTTACAGAAAAGTCTACTGTGCAGGTCCGAGGGTAACCAGGAATGCCAGGACTAAAGCGCCATATTGTTTCCAGATGATTGAAGAGTTTTCCATCTGTACACACTGCCTAAACAGACACAGCAGGCCATTTGTGGTTAGACACCTCTAGTACAAAGAAAGGGATGCTTGTTTACTATTTACAGCAACTACATCCAGTACCCCCATGCCCATCATAACATTTAAAACAAGCAATATAAACGTCATCCATATGTTACATTAAAGATTAAAGATCAGATAAATGTCCTGCTCTACACCAGTGACTACTTACTTTGACTAAATGAGGCCTAACACTTGTGATCATTGACGTGTATCTCTCCATCATTGGAGGGAATCCTACTTCAAGCTGGGCTTTGGAGTGACCTGCTCTCTTCATGATGGTCTGGGACTTCTGACACCAAGGCACAAAGAGCTTGTACTCGTCTACGTTGGCCACTACGTCATACATTTCCTGCATAGAGTAACTGTGACAGCAAGCATTGCAAGGTCATTAGTATTTCATTTAACGTCTCAAAAATACAGTCAGTACTAGCTAATAATGAATATTACCCAAGTATCCTACGCTCAGAGTACTCCTTCCTTTTGTTGGTAAGGCTGATGAAGTTTCTGCTCTGGGGAGCAGCAGTCATCGTGTCCCACTCTTGATGACAAAGCACCCTGGGACTTCTTGTCATCAAAATGCCACATGAAGACAGGTGTCTGCAAGGTGAGAGGAAACGTTCCGTTAGCCTGGAATGATGGGAAATGTGCCCTAAGCACAATTGAGAATGAAAAACAAAGCTTACTACATTCTAGTTTGCAGCTGCCAGTGAGCTGGACCCGAGGTTATAAAGGACAGTGTTGGGAGAACGCCGGTGTTTTCTGAGCTGGGCTTTTAAAGGAAAGAACAAACATCTGACTGTGTGAGTGAAGACCACAGGCTAATGGCTGCTATTTGAAACGCTGTGTACCTGAAGAGTTATGGGTGAGTGGTTTTACCTTAAACTTTTTTAACAAAATCTACTCTTATTCAAGGACAGACTTTCCAAATGGCTCCCCAGGGCAGTAGTCTAGGACCTCTGAGTATAGAGGGTCCCGACATAGTAATAATATTAATAGACGTTTTCCAAACACCCTATTTTACTTATTTCCCATGAGGAGCAAGCTTACATGACTGGAAAGAGTTTTAATTTGTTGAAGACGACATGAATTAACAACTGCTTAATGGTTCCCGTTTAATTTGCTTCAGATTTGTTCCCTTTTTAAAGTCGACACAGTACTACTAGTTTTACTGAACAACTTTAGTTTGTGTCATTTGAACAATGGTTTATAAATGTTCATTTTGCTTTGTAGAAGACATATGCAAAGTTGTTTTTTGAAATTATTATTATTTTTATCTTGATCTTGAGGTCCAAGCAGCAAACGTTATGACTAAATTCTAATCAAACTTTTCTTTAAATAAAGTCAGGAGGTGCATCTAATTATTTTAAAATCTCAGATTGTTTAAACGAAAACGCTTTAGTTAAACTGTTGCATGGTGTTTGTTTAGCTGATGTTTTGTACATTTTTCACTCTCTTTCGAATAATTTAGCCACTAAAACTACTGCACACCTATTTTTTTTTTTGTTTGTTTAAACAGAAAATCAGTTCATTCCCACTTGTGCTCTGAGCAGCAATGATTCATTAATTGAACAGAGTTTGTCAACTCCTATAAATATGTGGGTATCTTGGTCGACTCGCATCTTTCTTTTAAGCTTCACGTGGAAAACCTAGTAAGGAAACTGAAAGTGAAGTTGTGTTTGGTTTTCAGAAACAGATCCAGTCTAACTCTGAATGTTAAGAAACACCTTGTAACTGTGACTTGACTTCCCTCCATTGATTACAGTGACAATTATTAACATGAACGCTCCTACAAGAACCCTGCAGATGTTTGCTGCAGATGTTGGATGATGTCTATCATTGTGCACTAAGATTCATAACTGGCTGTAACTACCGTACCCACCACTGCACCCAGCATTCACTGGTTAACTGGTCATCATTAACTTCATGCAGAGTCTCTCACTGGTACATTTTCATCTTTAAATCACTTCTTGGTCTGCTGCCTTCATACATCTCCTCCTACATGTCTCTGCGTGAGTGCAGCTACAGCGTGCACTCTCAGAACATTATTACCTGCAGTGTTCCCTCATTGAGAACTGAACTAGGCAAAAGGGTCTCCTACTCCGCTCCTGTTTCCTGGAAGATCTTGCAAAAAGATCTGACGCTCTCGACCTTGACCTCTCTAAATGTCTTTAAGCATCTGTTAAGTTCATGGTAAGAACCAACACAGACATGTTCCTGTTTTTAGTTTTCTACATCGTCTTACAACCTAGCTGTTTTTTTTGTTAATTTAAATTTTTAATACCGTTTTCTTTCACTTGTTCTTCTCAATATGCATGCTTCCTTTTATGATTGTCCACTGTTGTCATCACTCTTTGTTAAAATCAGGTCTCTCTTGTAAATGAGTCCCTGAGGCTCAGTGGGATCAACCTGTATGAATAAAGGTTGAATGAATGAATTAAAGAAGCAAACTGGGACAGAACAAACTCTCGTGGTTTCAGACAGTAAACATACAGTTTTGGATATTTCATTTCAAAAGGTGAGAGCAGCTCTGTTCTGTGGGACTAGAAACCTTAAAATGAAGTGCACATTCTGTAATTTGTATCTGTTCACATCATCAATGGGGCACCAAAAGTAGCCCCAGCCTTTATTTAACCAGAAAAGAAACATCATGCAGTTCTAGGTAAAATACATGTTTGTTTGAGTCAGCACATACACATTTTAATGTGCTGGTTAGGATGGGAGCTCTGGTTCACACGTCAGTTGCTGCAGGAAGTCAATGAAATAAATAATTAAAGCACCTGATGACAGCAGTGTGATTATACAAAGACAGAGAACTTACTAGTTAAAACGTGTCAAGCAAACACGACATAATGACTAAATTACGTTTTCTTGTTTCCTATAACAAGTTAACAAACATTGCTCCATCAGGCCCAGTCTGTAGTCAGGAGGAGGCTACACCACCTGTGGCACGCTCACCTGATGTTCTGGCGCGAGCATCCTCTCGGCACCGTCTTAGGACACGAGCGAGGAGAACCCACTGTGGCGATCTGGAGGAAGTCGCTGAACGTCCGCACACCCATGGGCAACCTCCGGGCACCGGCCGTGGCTGCCATCAAACCAGCAACTCCGTCCGAGGCAGGAGCGAAGGGCGGTCCGACAGTAGCCGAGTCACAAGTCCCCGATTCTGTGCGACAAGCTACCGCGAGCCGAGCCGAACCGAGCCGCCTGTTCCTGCCTCAGCCTTCGTTCGGTAACTACGGCGGCTAACGAGGTTTCATAACAGTCCGACCAAACGCGACGTGCGGCCGCGTTCCTGGACTTTTTCAGCTCCTCTCACATCACGCCGCGTCCCGAGCGACTAAAAAGTCCGTTTTGAATGTTCACAGCTAGTTTTGGGCCGGAATTCTGTGAAATTCCGTCCAGCTGCTGGCGACCTTCTACCGCTGAATAAAACGCCGGTGACGGGACACACTGTTCCTTTCTTCGCAGGTCTGTCGGCGAGCGGCCGGAAGTGCTGCCCCCTGCTGGGCGGGAGGGTGACAGCAGGAACAAGATTTTTATTTATTTTATTATAATTTAATTATGATTTTTATTATTTTTATTTTATATAGTTTGGCGGCACCAGAGGTGATTCTACAATCTGCCACCCGCCATTGCTGTGTCTTGAACACAATGGTGGCCATTTTGTTTTTTCAAATGTTCATTTACACCTTTGGGCCACTGTAGCTTTAGCCTACATTACACAACAAAGTCCATGCTCAATAATCCAGGTATACAATCCAACATTTTTCAGTCAGGTCATCTGGACAGTTTCTTTTTTTTTTGTGCTGAAACGTTTCGCCTTCAATCCGGAAGGCTTCATCAGTCAAAGAAACACGCAACAAAACTGATTCTTCCACCAACAGCTTACTCGAAAGTGGAACAAACCAGTTCTGCTTGTGATAAGATGGTCTCTTTGGTACGCCCCTCCTCCATTGCCGGCCCTCTTCCTTGTTGTTCCACTTTGGAGTCAGCTGTTGGGGGAAGAATCAGTTTTGTTGTGTTTCTTTGACTGATGAAGCCTTCCGGACCGAAGGCGAAACGTTTCAGCACAAAAAAAAAGAAACTGTCCAGATGACCTGACTGAAAAATGTTGGTTTAGCCTACATTACACAACCTAATAAACACTTTGTACAAATCAGTTTAGTGTTAAATGATCATAACAAACAAAGAATAAATTCATGCAACCAGAAGTTATATCTATATTTAAAACACACAAAACAAAGCACAACCAGCTTTAAGCACTGCCTTTAATTTAACTATTAAACATAATTATGACACAAAATGGAGGATTTACCTGCAGTTACCTTTGTACAGATGAACATGTGGTACTTCCTGTTTATGAGGTCAGCTGCAGGGTTTTACATTTTTCCAGACTCAGTTTAGGTTTTGGAAATGGAATAAACTGTTTCCACTCTTGTGTCTTATTGAATGTTCCCCACTGACAACGTTTAACCTTTTTTTCTGATGATTTTTCTAAATATCCCTCTGACAGCAAAGTGTTCCTAATGCAAAACACCGACAATGTTGTCAGGAGTAAAAGGAGGTGCAGCTCTGCAGGTAAGGGGCGTTTACCTTCAGGACAAATTGAGATTTCTGATTGGTCACTTGCTGACAAGCTGTATGATTGACAGGTGGTGTCCAGGATCTGACGTGTGCAAAAAAAAAAATCAGATTTTACTGACCTGTTTAAGAGTGTCTTCATTTATTCCAAATTTATTCAATATTTTGGTGAATCTAAGGTTAGAAAACTGAGTTTTCTTTACAAAATCCTAATGATGGTTTCTTTATTTTTCAGGGTACAGACTTAAAATTTAGCGGTGCTTGAGCACCCCCAAAAAGAGGCTAAAATCACCACTGGGCAGCACGGTGGATCAGTTTGTAGAGCTGCCGCCTTCAGCACGAAGGTTGCTGGATTGATTCCTGGCTGGTGGGGGCCATTCTGGGTGGAGTTGGCATGTTCTCTCTGTGCATACGTGCACTGCATGATCTAAAAAGGAAGAAGCAGGTAAAGGTGATGGATAGATGGATTTTATATTTTTATTTAATTTTATTATTTAATTTTATTGTTTCATTTCATTTCGATTTATTATTATTTTATTTCATTTTAAAGCAGATGTAAATTTTTGACACATTTATTTATGGGCAGATGACTGAACTGCCCTGCTGGTTAGTGGCTTACAGAGAATTTATTAACCTAAATGTAATAAAAGAAAATAAACATTTAACGTAATGGCTCACAAAAATTATAAAGGTGGACGTTTCCTAAACTCTGTTTTTAGTTGCACTGCAGGAAATTGAGATTTTTATTTTAATTGTTATTTATAGTTGTTTCAATCTTTTTCTTTTTACATCTAAAACTCAGCTATTAAATGTATTTATGTTTTTAATGTAATTGCTTCATTCACGATTAAAGTTATTTGCCTTATGAACTTGTATCTTATTAAATGAAACACTGCTCTCTGGTTTTACTGTCATGTTGTATATTGATAAAGTTTTTATGTACTTTATATGTTCTTTGCATTCACTCTTGTCAAAAAATATTTTGTTTTGCTGTACAGGAAGTAACACAATGCACAAAATAATAATGTGCAGTAAATTGTGAATTTTACAGAACAACCAAAACAAAACGTAAGACTGCAAACAATATGTAACATCTTCAAAGACAAACACACTGAGCTAAACCACAGAACAACACACTCTTTTAATCAAAGTCAAAATTAGACAAATTCACTATGAAGGTATTTTTAAATGAATGAGGTACATAAATTAAAACAAAAAGAAAAGCTACGAGTACTTGGAAATACAAAATGAGCAACATTACAAAGAAAACCACCAAAACAAGACATGAAATGTGTACCAGAGGAACATTTGACACAAATTAAACTGGAAGGATGTAAAGGACCAGTCATTAACAGTTCTTCACGGATTTTCAGGTTTGAGGGTTCTGACACTACGACTCGACATTGGACCACTGAGCCACAGTCCGGTTCTTTTTCTCCTCAGGTGAGACGTTTCTGACGTTGTCTGGTTCAGGAGTGGCCTGACTTGAGGATGGCAAAACAACACAAAAATAAAATGACTATTCTTCTAGAAATTGTTATATTTTGACTTTAAAGTGACAGTTCGGCTCATTTAAAGGTAAGTTCCCTGCAAAGATTATGAACAATTAATATCTTACTTGTTGTAAACACCTCTTTAAATAAAGCAGAGTTTTATTCTGACTTTATCGATGAGCTCCAGGGGTCTGCAACCTGCGGCTCTGGAGCCACATGTGGCTCTGTGGTCCCTCTGCAGCGGCTCTTTCAAGCTTTGACCAAAACTGGAATAAAACTGAATTTTATAGCTTGTTATACCCACAATAAAAACAAGTCGTTTTAGCAGTTTTCCTGTCATTTCCTCTGCAAATATGTGGAAACAAGTACTAATACACAGAGTAAATTATACTCTAACTTTATTTTTTCAAAGTAGGATATAGTTTCTCCACAATAAAAAACAAACAAACACATAAGCATGCACAGTTCATTGCTTTAGTTTTTTTAAAATAGGCAACATATATATATATATATACACACACACACACATATATATATATATATATATATATATATATATATAATTATTATTTTTTTTTTTTTTACAGGAATCCAGTCTTCTGCGATAGAGTTGCAACCTGGATATGGGCACCAGTGACCACCTGCAACCCAAAAAAGAAAAAGCGAGTAAAATGATGGATGGATGGATGGATGGATGGATGGATGGATGGATGGATGGATGGATGGATGGATGGAAGAATGGATGGATGAAATCCAGTCTTTTCTTTTGTCTTAAAATGTATAAATATCAACAAATGTTAACAATCATTGGATGTTTTTAGTTTTATAATTTCATGCCTACTGGTCAGAAAAGCTCCCTCTAACAAACCTAAAGTGGCCCATGGGCCACCAGTTGATACTGACAGTTGTAGCAGGTTTTGCAGCTCTTGGACACGTTTAATGTAGTGAACAAAAGGGCAGATATGACTCTTTTGTTCCTAGAGGTCGCAGACCCCCAGAGCTAATTTTAAGTGGAGCCAAGACAAAAGTGCTGCCGTCCTAAAACAGCTCTAAACATTTTATATAATGCTCATACAAACAACAAGCTTTTATATTATCATCAATTTCACATTACACTGTTTACATATTATTATTATTATTATTTACAAGTGCAAATAGCAGATGCCAACCGGTAAACAGAGAACTTCTCTTTGCAGCTCAGCTCCCTCTTCACCACAATGGACCAATACAGATTGCACAATACCACAGAAGCTGCACAGATCTGTCTGTTGGTCCCACGCTCCATTCTTCCCTCACTCATGAACACGACCCTGAGATACCTGAACTCCTCCACTTGAGGCAGAACCTCACCCTCCACCCAGAGAGAGCAATCCACACTTTTCCATCTGAGGACCACGGCCTCAGGTTTGGAGCTCAGGTGCTGATTCTCATCCAGCCGCTTCACATTCGGCTGCAAACCCCAGTGAGAGCTGGCGATCACGGCACAATGACGTCGACAGGACCACGTTATCTGCAAATCGTAGAGGCAAAATCCTGAGTCCAATGAACTGGACTCCCTTCACCTCTGGCTGCAATGAAAAATTCTGTTGATAAAGTTATGAAGAGAATTGGTGGTCCAAATCAAATTACAATGCAAACCAAACCCTTGCACTGCTTGTACAAGGCTGAACGTCCCACAGTAGAGGAGCACAGTCAAATGCCTTATCCAAGTCCATAAAACATGTAGACTGGATGGACAAACTCCCCGGCACCTCAAGGACCCTAGTGAGGGTAAAGAGCTGGTCCAGTGTTCCACGGCAGGGACAGACAGGGACATTGTTCCTCCTGACCTTTGCTCCCAACAATAAAATAATATATATATGTGGGATTAACCATTTAATGACCACATCGCCTCAGAATAAATGCTTATGTTTGTTCATGTTTGTTTATGTTCGTGTTGCTGTTAGGCGTATTGTTTCTTTGCTGCTAGTGCTTAGTGTGTTTTAAGTTAACATTTTTCTTAGTTCGTATCTTAGATCTTATTACTGTTTTTCTTTTACATTTTAATACTTTTGTTGGATGTAACTGGGACCCTGTGTGCACAATTTTGTTCTACCACATGTGGTGTGAATGACAAATGAAGAGCCTTGAATCTTTATGACATATTGTTTAATTCTGAATTATTATAAAACATTTGACCTTGGAGTTGACATTAATAAACTTTGGCCTTTTTTTTTTTTTTTTATTCATTCAACCTTTATTTAAGGTTAATCCCATTGAGCCTCGGGGACTCATTTACAAGAGAGACCTGGCCTTGGACCAGGTTAGCTAGTCTACATATCTTTTTCTCTAAACTTACAGTATCCTGATGCATGCTCAATAATCCAGGTAGAAAAATCTAAAAAAGTTAAATCTGGTCCTCTGGACATTCAAAAAAAACAAAAAAACAAAGCAAAACAACAAAAAAATGTAGAAACGTTTCATCTCTCATCCAAGAGACTTCCTCAGTCTGAGGTGCTGTTTTCAGCTCAGTCTCTTAAATAGCACCTTCTCAGAGTGGATCAACCAGTTTTGCTGCTGACAACCAAAACCAGCTGATCACATGCTCAAGAAGGACCATCAGCCTAACAATGGATCATTAGCACACTGATGGCTGTTTACTGTTCACAGAGGGCTGAGTGATACTAGCAATCACAGCATTTTAAGAGGGGGACAGTTGAACCCGGAGGCCTCCACCCCTGTTTAATGATGGATGATTTCTTTTCACAAAGATGGCCTCCTTTACTCCTCTCTCAAACCATCGTTCCTCTCTGTCCAGGATGTGCACATCTTCATCCCTGAAAGAGTGACCGCTGGCCTGGAGATGAGTGTAGACCGCAGAGTCCTGGCCTGATGATGTTGATCTTCTGTGCTGGGCCATCCTTTTGGCCAGTGGCTGTTTAGTTTCCCCGATGTAAGACTGATCACAGCCCTCCTGACACTGAACAGCATACACAACATTACTCTGTTTGTGCCGGGGGACTGGATCTTTGGGATGAACCAGTCTTTGCCGTAATGTATTTTGGGGTTTAAAAGCCACTGGGACGTTGTGTTGACAAAGTGTCGACAAAGTGGCATCATTCCCAAGAGCCTGGAACTAAAATCTTCGGTCAGCGGGCACAGGGCAAGCAAGATCCTTCAGAAGGCACAGACCCAGCTGCTGAATGAACGGGTGAGACAGACCAATTTTACTATTGAGGCCTTGAAGGCCAAAGAAGATCACATTAAACAGAAACTAACTATGTGTCTAGATCAGACCACACTTCAGCAAGTGTTGGACTGTACAGATCAGGCACGCTTAGCACAGCATGTCAAGTCCAAGACTCAACAACAAAATAAGTTTAACTTACTAATAACTCATCAACACCATCATTATTCCAATAACAACAAATTCAGTGTAGGACAACACTCCAGTAGTCAATTACATGCCAGGGAGACAGAAAAGTGGGTGAAGAATTTATCTGACAGACAGCTCACCCAGCCAGAGACAGAGATTCTTGCCAGGGGACTGAACTTTGCGGTTGCACCAAGTACAATTCCTCTGGTGGAGATGATCACAGCCACAGAATCAGCCATCCGCAACAACAAAATGAAAGAGGCTGAAGCAGAGCAACTCAGAATCAAAGTTTCATCCTGCCTCAGCAATGCCAAACCACCACCTTCCAACATCAGTAGAGAGGAGAGGGATGCACTCACCACTCTTAGCATGGACAAAAACATCATCATTCTCCCAGCAGACAAAGGAAGGTGCACAGTGATTTTGAACCAGAAAGACTATCATGAGAAAGTTATGACACTCCTTAGTGACTTAACCACTTATGAACCTCTGAAAAGAGATCCAGGAAGTGGTTACAAGAAGAAGTTAATAGATTGCCTGAAAAATTTGGAGCAGGACAAGGCTATTGACCGTTTTCTGTACCACAGACTGTACCCAGGGGAGGCCACACCTAGTCTGTATGGTTTACCTAAAATCCACAAACAAGGTGTACCTTTAAGACCTATTGTTAGCATGATTAACTCTGTCACTTACAATGTTTCCAAATATCTGGCGTCTGCACTCATCCCTTTAGTTGGCAGCTCAGAACACCACATACAGAACACCATGGACTTTGTGGATAAGGTGAGGGATGTCATCATGGAGACTGATGAAACAATGGTCTCTTTTGATGTCACATCACTCTTTACGTGCATTCCTGTTGATGATGCAGTAGAGGTGGTCAGTTTAAGATTAAAATCAGACACCACTCTGAGCAGCAGGACCACGCTTTCCACAGAACAACTGTGTCAACTCTTGAAACTGTGCCTGCAGTCAACCTACTTCACATATGGGGAGCAATATTATAGGCAGAAACATGGGTGTGCTATGGGGTCTCCACTTTCTCCTATTGTTGCCAACATGTACATGGAGGAGGTAGAAAAGAGAGCCTTGACGTCCTTTTCAGGGACACCACCAAGTCATTGGTTCAGGTATGTTGACGACACCTGGGTTAAAATCAAATCTCAGGAAGTCCAACATTTTACTGACCACATCAACTCTGTGGATAAATACATCAAGTTCACACGAGAAGATGTAAAAAATGGCAGGTTGGCTTTCTTGGACTGTGAGGTCTCAGTCTCTGATAGAGGACATTTGCAAACTGAGGTGTACCACAAACCCACCCACACAGACCAGTATTTGCAGTTTGACTCCCATCACCCTTTGGAGCACAAGTTAGGAGTCATCAGGACTCTGTATCACAGAGCAGACAGCGTCCCCACTAGCTCAGGAGCCAGGCAGAAGGAGAAATCCCACACAAGACAGGCTCTAGAGCAATGTGGATATCCTAACTGGGCCTTCCTGAAAGCAGAGAAGAAACCCAAACAGGACTCCAGTCAGCCATCAGGTGAAAAGGAGGAACCCAGACCCAGACCAGTGGTCATTCCATATGTTGAGGGAGTATCAGAGAAACTGAGACGTTTATTTTCTAAACATAACGTCCCAGTGGCTTTTAAACCCCAAAATACATTACGGCAAAGACTGGTTCATCCCAAAGATCCAGTCCCCCGGCACAAACAGAGTAATGTTGTGTATGCTGTTCAGTGTCAGGAGGGTGATCAGTCTTACATCGGGGAAACTAAACAGCCACTGGTCAAAAGGATGGCCCAGCACAGAAGATCAACATCATCAGGCCAGGACTCTGCGGTCTACACTCATCTCCAGGCCAGCGGTCACTCTTTCAGGGATGAAGATGTTCACATCCTGGACAGAGAGGAACGATGGTTTGAGAGAGGAGTAAAGGAGGCCATCTTTGTGAAAAGAAACCGTCCATCATTAAACAGGGGTGGAGGCCTCCGGGTTCAACTGTCCCCCTCTTACAATGCTGTGATTGCTAGTATCACTCAGCCCTCTGTGAATAGTAAACAGCCATCAGTGTGCTAATGATCCATTGTTAGGCTGATGGTCCTTCTTGAGCATGTGAGCAGCTGGTTTTGGTTGTCAGCAGCAAAACTGGTTGATCCACTCTGAGAAGGTGCTATTTAAGAGACTGAGCTGAAAACAGCACCTCAGACTGAGGAAGTCTCTTGGATGAGAGACGAAACGTGTGTACATTTTTTTGTTGTTTTGCTTTGTTTTTTTTTGTTTGTTTGTTTTTTTTAATGTCCAGAGGACCAGATTTAACTTTTTTAGATAAACTTACAGTAGTTCAGCCCTTCTCAAATAGTGGGGCGCGCCCCACTGGGGGGGGGCCCGGAGCAATGCCGGTGGGGGGCGCGCATGTGGCCCCGTGGAACATTTTGCGGCAGGGATTAGGTTTTTATTTCTTTGGCACCATTCTCATTTTTCAGGGTGCATTCGGCAACTATTTGCTAAAATTTGACAACTCTCAGTTTGACTGATAATAAAGTTATGAACAAATATGTCTGTCTTGTCGTTTGGGGAGCCATGCTTGAACCGTGTCGCTGTGACACCTCCTCAGCTAGTGACGCTCTGACGCTTGTCACCCACAGCACGCATGCGACAGAGAATAAACTCAAAGCGAGAGCGTTACCTGCCCCTCTTACGCTTTTACTTTAACAATTTTTTGTTTGTTGGTCAAAGCACTTTTTTTTTTTAAATACAGAATTAATGTTTAATAAATGTTAGGACTCTATTCTTTACTAACAAGTCCTCCGCTCTGGACTCATTTCACCCACAGCACGCATGCAACAAAGAGTATAAACTCAAAGCGAGAGCGACACCTGCCCCCTCTTTCCTCTTTCGTGTTAACAAAATTTTTTAGTTTTATCGATTGTCAAAGCACAATTTTGATGTTTTTTTTTTTAATTTGTTATAAAAACAGATGTTTAACAAATGTTAGGACTTTATTCTTTGCTAACAAAATATATTTTATGTCATTAAACAACTTGTCAGGTTCTTCTCTTGTGAGCGCAAGATAAGAATTTAATTTATTAATTTAATTTAATTTCAGGCAAATTGATGCACTTCAAGCCTTTTCTGTTACAGACTATAAAACAATGTTAATAATCTTTGTTGTAAGCTGATCTATATTTCTTTCTTTTTTTATTTAATGTTAATAAGGACACAATGTTATGCAGAGGTGTACTTATAACAATTTTTTAGACAAATTATACTATTTACAGTTGCGGAGGAGAGTTGGGAGGCGCAAAATGTTTACTTCTTCCTGGGGGGGGGGGGGGGGGCGTAACTGAAAAAAAATTGAGAAGCACTGCAGTAGTTCAAACAGCTATCTACAGCAGGTGAGATATTGTTGATGATAACTATCACATGCTCTTTAAAGCGCAGTGTGCAGTACCCTTATCCGCCACACGGGGGCGACATTTCCCCGCGCTGAACAGAGCGGACCGCCACGCCTGTAGGCGGAGCAGAACTCAGTCGTAGCCCAGCGGAGTCGGAGCAGACGCTGGAAATAGACAACAACAGTGACGGGCAGAGACGGCATTTCTCTTTTGCTTTTAGTTATGGGTGTAGTCTGAGCGGTAGATACAGTAGCGCGCCGCAGTTTACCTCGAAGTTTCATCCTGATGAAGGAGCTCCGTCCTGGCTGAGTTTGGGAGATGGGAGTACTTAGCATCGCAGACCAGGTAATGCTAAAAGAAAGCGCTCTGTGTTGCGCCGCCGTGGCGCAGTCTATTTGCTGGGAAAGCCTTCGCTCTACTGCGCAACATGCTACGTATTCATCGAACGCTTCCGTGCTAAATTGTGATGCATGCTTATTGTTTTGTAGATATCTTGATCACGTAGTTATATTTTTATTTTATTTGCGATGCTTGGCGTTTAGGGCGGTAATGTTTGCGTTGTTGGCAGTGTATCCTGAACCGTAGTCTGGGTCAGGGCCAGCTCATTTGGCTAGCTGACGTAAGTACCAAGAAACGGGCCCGTAGGCCTAGGCCTCGGCTTGGTGTAATTACTGGAAAGGAAAAGGGGGAGAAAGCAAGTTTTGTATTCATTTTATTGCTGTAAATGTCGAAATTAACATTTACCACCCTTTTTGTTTTATATTAGTTTATATTTATTTTTGGCCGTCTGTAATGAATGATAAATGTGAAATGAAGGTTTATCCGATCGGTGTGGACGTTAGCAGTAACTCGGTGGTATTTTGTGTTGCAGCCTCCTCTGGTCCAGGCTATCTTCAGTCGTAATACTGAAGAAGTTCAACTGTTATTGCACAAAAAGGAAGATGCCAATGCACTGGTATGATGGGAGCACGCAGGGTTTTGTTAGATGAAGGTGCATCGTCAGTCTCCTCACTGATTGTGTGTTTGACAGGACCAGGAGCGTCGCACGCCTCTTCATGCTGCTGCCTGTGTGGGTGACGTCCATATAATGGACATCCTCATTGAATCAGGTGAGTCTGCTGCACATGTCCACAGGTCTGCCTGCTCTTTGTCCCACTAACACATTGTGCACATAAACAACTGTATAAGACTTGAGCCCTGCAGCTAAAATGGTGTTTCTGCTCCTCACAGGCGCCAACGTCAACGCTAAAGACCACATTTGGTTGACCCCGTTGCACAGAGCAGCCGCTTCCAGGAATGACGTAAGCCATTTGAATTTGTGTTTATTAAACCTTAATCAGATTTTGTATTTTAATTGTTGCCTGAAGGTGAAGGGAAGATTTCACAAGATTGTGCATAACGTAATTAAAAGTGTTTGCCCCCGACAGCTCTGTAATGGCTCTTTCTCAACATAAGATGGTTTTAGTTTCAAATGCTGGCACGAAGATACTATTTCTTTGAAGTGCTCGAGACATGCATATCCTACAAACACAAAAAGTGGGGAAAATACATTTTATTGTTTAAGAAATTTGGCCGTGTACACTATTTTACGTATTTTGTCACATAACTGGTATATTTTCTTTTGAACTTGGAGCAGCCAGAGTGAAACAGGAAGTGACATCAAAGGGGACCTCCTTGTTTTTTTGTTTATTGAAACAGTACTGTTTGACTCTTCTTCATGTTTCTCTGATAGTGACTCAGAATAATGTAAAGAAACATCGTATTTGCCTCTACTGTCTTTGTTGTTAGCCATTATAGCAATGCTCTGTTTACATGCAGGCGTTCCCCTTTTACATCACTTCCTGTTACTGCGCATGCAAATATCTCAATAACTGTTCATCTCAGTGGCGTGAGAATTTATTTTATTATTATTTGCATTAGACTATTAATGTTATCATTCCAAAAATGCATTCATATTTATTACAGAGTTTTGATGTCACAGGCACTTTAAGGAGGGATTTTCAGTTGCAACTAGATCTTGCCTCCAGTTTGTTCGGTGGACAACCAAGTGAAAGAGACATGGATTAAAGTTCTCCGACGCCGCAACAGATTTTCACTCGTTTATTGCGTGGGTTATGCTCCATCCCTCCCCCCCCAGCAATAAGTGAAAAACCGCAAAGTAGGGATGTTATTTTAGTATTTATATACAGTAATCCCTCGTTTATCACTGTTGTTTGGGACCATGCCCACCCACAATAAGTGAAAAACCACAAAGCAGGAATACAGTAGTCCACGTTCAGTTCAAGTTCAGTAAACTTTGTCATGACATGTGCCAGGCTGTAATCACACTCATCACCTGTTACTCCCAATCTCCCTTCTTAAATAAACAGTTTAAATTTAAATACTGTAATATTTTAAATAAACAATCCATGCAGCATGGATTGTTTATTTAAAATATTACATTGAATTTAAATTGTATAGAAGAGAAGTGCAGCAGGACATGAAAGTGATGTCACACAGCTTCAGGAGCAGAAATGTACTTTTTGATCAATTACACTGCAACAACTGAACATAGAAGTTCTAAAATAATTTTAAAATAACTTAACAATTTAATATTTTGTGATTATGACGATTTTATGATGTGACATACTTTGAATTTTAAGTTGGAAGACAAAAGTCGATCAAGACTTACAAAATGTTTGTTTTGAAAATATGCCAAGTAAACGATACGTTTGTATAAAAATAAATAAAAGCGACCCATTTGGATGATATTTTAGATAAACAACACTCTTTACAATAAATAAACTATACTAACAATAATAAAAATCTTAAATACAATAACAGTCAGAAGCAGAACATTAAGCAGCAATAGACTGTTTACAATCTAACTAATCAAGTTTTTAAGTTTTTGGCCAAAAAGACCAACTTGTTCACATTTTATGCCAAAATCACAGATCTAGTTGCAGTGAATATCTCCAGTGGTGGAGAAAACTGCTCACTAACAACAGTAGCAGGAATAGAGAGGTAGAGCTTTGCTAATTTTGCAGTGTGGCTGTATTTGGCCTCCATCCATCCATCCATCCATTTTCCTCCGCTTATCCGGGGTCGGGTCGCGGGGGTAGCAGCCTAAGTAGGGAGGCCCAGACTTCCCTCTCCCCAGCCACTTGGTCCAGCTCCTCCGGGGGAATCCCAAAGCGTTCCCAGGCCAGCCGAGAAACATAGTCCCTCCAGCGTATCCTGGGTCTTCCTCTGGGCCTCCTCCTGGTGGGACGTGTCCGGAAAACCTCACCAGGGAGGCGTCCAGGAGGCATCCTTAACAGATGCCCGAGCCACCTCTACTGGTTCCTCTCGACGTGGAGAAGCAGCGGCTCTATTCTGAGTCCCTCCCGGATGGTCGAGCTTCTCACCGTATCTCTAAGGAAGAGCCCAGACACCCTGCGGAGAAAACTAATTTCGGCCGCTTGTATCTGAGATCTCATTCTTTCGGTCACAACTCAAAGCTTGTGACCATAAATGAGGGTAGGAACGTAGATCGATGGGTAAATTGAGAGCTTTGCCTTTTGACTCGGCTCTCTCTTCACCACGACAGACCTGTACAGTGCCCACTTCATTGCAGACGCTGCACCTATCCGCCTATTGATCTTGCGTTCCATTTTTCCCTCATTCGTGAAGAAGACCCCAAGATACTTGAACTCCTCCACTTGGGGCAGGACCTCCTCCCTGACCTGGAGAGGGCACTCTACCCTTTTCCGGCTCAAGACCATGGCCTCGGATTTGGAGGAACTGATCTTCATCCCGGCTGCGTCGCACTCGGCTGCAAACCGCTCCAGCGAAAGCTGTAGATCACGATCTGATGAAGCCAATAGAACCACATCATCTGCAAAAAGCAGAGACGCAATCCTAAGGCCACCAAAACGGATCCCCTCAATACCTTGGCTGCGCCTAGAAATTCTGTCCATAAAAGTTATGAACAGAATCTGTGACAAAGGGCAACCTTGGCAGAGTCCAACTCTCACCGGGAACAAGCCCGACTTACTGCCGGCAATGCGGACCAGACTCTGACACCAGTCATACAGGGACCTAACATCCCGTATCAAAGGGCCCGGTACCCCATACTCCCAGAGTACTCCCCGAAGGGCGCGGTCGAACGCCTTCTCCAAGTTTACAAAGCGCATGTAGACCGGTTGGGCAAACTCCCACGCACCCTCCAGGACCCTGCTGAGAGTGTAGAGCTGGTCCAGTGTTCCATGATCAGGACAAAAACGGCACTGCTCCTCCTGAATCCGAGGTTCGACTATCTGACGGACCCTCCTCTCCAGAACCCCCGAATAGACCTTACCAGGGAGGTTTAAGAGCTTGATCCCTCTGTAGTTGGAACACACTCTACGGTCCCCCTTTTTGAATAAGGGAACCACCACCCCGGTCTGCCAATCCAGGGGAACTTCCCCCGATGTCCACACAATATTGCAGAGTCGTGTAAGCCAACACAACCCTACAACATCCAGAGCCCTAAGAAACTCCTTGCGAATCTCATCCACCCCTGGGGCCCTGCCACCAAGGAGCTTTTTAACCACCTTGGTGACCTCAGCACCAGAGATTGGAGGGCCCGACCCAGAGTCCCCAGGCTCCGCTTCCTCAGTGGAAGACGTGCCGGTGGGATTGAGGAGGTCTTCAAAGTATTCTGCCCACCGACCCACGACATCCCGAGTTGAAGTCAGCAGCACACCGCTCCCACTATAAACAGTGTTGGTGGCGTACCGCTTCTCCCCCCGAGACGCCGGATGGTGGACCAGAATCGCCTCGAAGCCGTGCGGAAGTCATTCTCCATGGCCTCTCTGAACTCCTCCCATGCCCAAGTTTTTTACCTCAGCAACCACCCGAGCCGCATGTTGCTTGGACTGCCGGTACCAATCAGCTGCTTCCGGGGTCCCACAGGCCAAAAAGGCCCGATAGGACTCCTTCTTCAGCCTGACAGCATCCCTCACCGATGGTGTCCACCACCGGGTTCGAGGGTTGCCGCCTCGACAGGCACTGACAACCTTGCAGCCGCGGCTCCGCTAAGCCGCTTCGACAATAGAGGCACGGAACATGGCCCACTCGGACTCAATGTCCCCCACCTCCCCCAGAACATGTTCAAAGTTCTCCCGGAGGTGGGAGTTAAAACTCCACCTCACAGGAGACTCTGCCAGACGTTCCCAGCAAACCCTCACAATACGTTTGGGTCTGCCAGGTCTGACCGGGATCCGCCCCTCTTTTCACCCGAGTGTCCAAGACATGTGGCCGCAGATCAGATGAGATGACGAGGGGCGGCTGTGGCTGAGTGGTTAGAGCAGTCGTCCTCCAATGCAAGAGTTGGGGGGTTCGATTCCACCAGCAGTCACATGTCTAAGTGTCCCTGGGCAAGACACTGAACCCCTCATAGCCTCTGATGTGTGTCCCATCAGTGTACGAATGTGATCTAAAGCACTGATTAGTCTCTTTAGAATGATTTGTTCAATTAGCTTTGTAGAGATCTAGTAGAGTGCTTTATGAATGGGTAAATGAGGCACAGATTGTAGTGTAAAGTGCTTTGAGTGTCTTGAAATAAGATAGAAAGGCGCTATAAAAGTACAGTCCATTTACCATTTACGACGACAACAAAGTCGATCATCGAACTGCGGCCTAGGGTGTCCTGGTGCCAAGAGCACGTATGGACACCCTTATGCTTGAACATGGTGTTCGTTATGGACAATCCATGATGAGCACAGGAGTCCAACAACAGAACACCACTCGGGTTCAGATCAGGGGGGCCGTTCCTCCCAACCACACCCCTCCAGGTCTCACTATCATTGCCCACGTGAGCATTGAAGTCCCCCAGCAGATCAAGGGAGTCCCCAGGAGGTGCACTTTCCAGTACCCCCTCCAAGGACTCCAAAAAGGGTGGATAATCTGAACTGCCGTTTGGTGCATAAGTACAAATGACAGTCAGAACCCGTCCCCCCACACGTAGGCGGAGGGAGGCCACCCTCTCATTCACCAGGGTGAACCCCAACACACAGGCACCAAGATGGGGGGGGCAATAAGTATGCCCACTCCTGCTCGGCACCTTTCACCAGGGGCAACTCCAGAGTGGAAGAGTGTCCAACCCCTCTGAAGGAAACTGGTTCCAGTGCCAGAGCCATGCATAGAGGTGAATCCGACTATTTCTAGCTGGAACCTCTCAACCTCACACACCAGCTCAGGCTCCTTCCCCACCAATGAGGTGACATTCCACGTCCCAATAGCCAGCTTCTGTAGCCGAGGATCAGACCGCCAGGGTCCCCGTCCTCGGCCACCACCCATCCAACATTGCACCTGACCCCTTTGGCCCCTCCCACATGTGGTGAGCCCATGGGAAGGGGGATCCACGTGTCCTCTTCGGGCTGTGCCCGGCCGAGCTCCATGGGTAAAAGCCCGGACACCAGGCACTCGCCCGCGTGCCCCATCTCCAGGCCTGGCTCCAGAGTGGGGCCCCGGTGACCCACGTCCAGGCGAGGGAACATCAAGTCCATTTCTTTTTCTCATCATAGGGGTCTTTGGGCTGCACTTTGTCTGGTCCCTCACCTAGGACCTGTCTGCCTTGGGTGACCCTACTAGGGGCGTAAAGCCCCTGACAGCATAGCTCCTATTGGGACACTCAAACCCCTCCACCACGGTAAGGTGGCAGCCCAGGGAGGGGGGTATTCTAAACAATGTTTCTAAATTCTAAACACTCTAAAAGAGCACAGAATGTCATGATTTCCCTTTCTGTGCCTTTACTGCCCTCAGCCATTTGAAAGCTGTCTTGGCCACGCCCACTTCTCCACTCTGCATACAGATCAGCTGCAGCAGGAAGTTTATCCTGCAATAAGGGCTGCACAGAGGCGCAGGAGGCGCTAAATAATTTTTAATTTATTTTAAATACAAATTCCATTATGATCATGCGGCTCATCCATCAATCAGCCAGTTGTGTCATGTCCAATCTTATTGTGAAAAACCGCGATAAGAGTGAGTCCACGATAAACGAACCACGAATTAGCAAGGGACCACTGTATATATTAAGGCTTCATAACCCCTTCCCACTTTTGCAATGTTCTAAACTGTAAACGCTCTAAAAGAGCACAGGTGTTATGATCTCCGCTCTCTGCCATGCCCACTTCTCCACTGCAGTCACACTCATGCTCATCACCTGTGTCACTCCCAATCTCCCTCCTTTTGTGTAAATAAACAATGTAAATTTAAATACTGCAACAGTTCAAATAAACAATCGATGCCGCATGAGCAGCATGGATGGTTCATTTAAAATAATCGAGCGCAACCTGAACCGAGCCTTTAGTTCCCCTCGGTGAATGGGCCAGGCCACCGAGAAGTGTCTTGGTGCTCCAGATGGCCAGTCCAACCGCAACTCCTGCTGCAGCAGGTGATGAATCATTTAAAATAATTTATTTTACTGATTTATCACCTGCTGCACCTGTGGACTGCGCTTGTTTGTTTGTTTGTTTATGTTTATGTGTGCTGTGCTTCTTAAACACTCCCCAGTCCCCCTCCCTGACAGTTTGATTGCCTCATGCCTGAAGTAATCCAGCATTCTTGTTCCTGCTCTGTTCCTGGCCCACTCCATAACACAGATTCCTCCCCTTTGCCTCCCCAAGACAGATACTTCTGCCCACTGGATATCTGGACCTCGACATCTGCTCTGCCTTCAGACCACTGATTCCAGCTAAAACCCTCAGAAGTTTTGCTTTTCCTGCCTCTGTGTGAATGACCCACGCCCGTATTTTTGAACACAAACTCAGACCCCGGACTCGGAGTTGAGCTCTCAGAACCAAGCTCCACATTCTGAGAGTGTTTGTCTGACTTTCGCCCACATATCACATGATCTGTCCAAACCTTCTTTCCCTCTGACGTCATCTCAGCTTTGGCTTTTCAGCTGTGATCTAGTGCTACAGAGTGACAGCTGATTGTCTCCTCCTGATAAAACTTTAAATATTTTTGTTCACTGCCGTTTCAGTTTGCGGGTCCCCCTCGTAATTCATTACACAGCAAAAGAGTCTTCCTTTTGCTCGATGCACGTGACCAATTCACTGCAGCCGAGGGAGATACCAGAACTGAAACACCATCACTTGCACTGCGCCCCAACCTCCCTGGGACTTTATCTAAAATCTAACTTTGTATTAAATGTTAATGTGATCGGAGCGTCATTTTCATCAAACAGACATGTGCAACTTGTGCGGGACCAAACTCCAGGTCCTAGAAAGAGAGCACTGTTGTGGGAGTGCGCTCAGCCTGAATGTCTCGCATGGCAAGACGGTCTGTTTCTGCAATTTTAGTTCTTATAATTAAACAATATTAATGTTTTAGTTCTTATAATTAAACAAT